CTGGATTCCCATTTAATACTATATCAATATAATTAAACATATTTATCGAAATAAATTAGATAAGTATAGTTGAACAGTCTTATTTAAAGGGAAATTTCTTAATCTAGAGTCATTTATCACGACAATCGCTTACCCTATTTAAAACTTGTCGGTGCGCAAGTGGTTCTACCACGGACCACTATTACATAACACACATTTTAGTCACAAAATCACTCTTATTGCAACCATATAAGATGCTACATTGTGAAGCTAAACATGCCGTCTCTACAATACACTTAAGCAGAATATCTTCGAGATTGTCGAAGGAACATTGACCGATAGTAGTGGCTTTTAAACAGGTGATCGCTAATACCATTAGGAGCGTTGTAAAAGTGCACTTAAAAAAGAAATTAAGCAAGGCGCAGGACTCGACTTGGTTCAATAAGGTATAATGAGTTTGTGCCTTTGTTAAAGGAAACAGGAAAATCGGCCCTATTTTGTAACTGTTATCAGGCAACTTTGAATGACAATGAGTATAAAATAAAAGTGAATATTGTGATTGGAAAGTGTAGTGAAGTGCTTTAATAGGTAGGTATATTTGTTACTGTAACGGGAAAAGTAGAGAAAAATGCCACCGGTGCCGGTGATAAAAGGTGAATAAAAATTGCCTTATTTATCATAAGAGATCAAATTCGAAATAATGAATAAAACTACTATAATTCAATTAAGTAGGTATTCTGTGGATAATTTATTATCTAAACGAGAAATCGTATGCTCTCAGAAAGTTGAAATCAGTGCGACATTATGACAAAATTAGAAGGAATTCAAAACTGTTATCTTGAAATAATGATGTAACTCCAATATTCACTCATTCATAAACCAAATAAGTAGGTACCAAGTAAAATTTCAAACCAACTTGAGCAATAGATCTCCACAACTTCATCGGGCAAACAAAAAGTAACTAATTCCTTACCCCGCTTTTTGGTTCCTGAATAAATGTTCCAAAAGTGTGGAATCTAAGCAAAGTTTGTTTTCAGGCCATTACCATTAGGGAGATTTACATAAAGCACTCGTAGTACAGTCAGCATCAAAAATTTATCTATAATTCTATACTAATATTATAAGTAGTAACTCTGTCTGTCTGTCTTGCTTTCACGCCTAAACCACTGAACCGATTTTGATGAAATTTGGCATAGAGATAGTTTGAGTCCCGGGAAAGGACATAGAATAGTTTTTATTCCGGTTTTTGAAACAGGGGACGCGCGCGGTAAACTTTTTCTGTGACAGACAAAATTCCACGCGGGCGAAGCGAAGCTGGTTTACAATAATGCAAAAAAACACTTCTCATACAAACATTATCTTAAGAGTACAAAAATATGCATAAACTGTAATATGAAAATTTTTTGAGTGTAAAATATAACTATTTGGGTATTTGACTGTGAAGTATTTTGATCACTGACTGTGCATATATTTTTGACGTCGACTGTTCAACTTCCGAACTGATTAACTCCGAGTTTATAAGGGTTCGTTAACATTATAAAATGGCTGCCCAAAATACTTTCCGTTTTTCATCCCACATCGCGATTCATAAAGTTTGAAACGGCATTTTATTATCTTGAATAACACTTGATTTTGATGACTGACAAATTCACAACAATACGCTAATGATTTGTAACATTTCTATTACATTTTTAGGTATATCTTGAAAAACATTATTTGAATAGCTATGAATATACTAGTGAACCCTGAAACCACATATTAAGTGGGTAGTTACGAGTTGTGATGCCAAAGATTTATAATTCTTTTGATTAATTAAGTACTTATTAATTTCATAATATTAATAGCAAATAAATAATTAATATTGATTAACGATATCTATAAATTTACATTAGCTTTAATTACCTGCTTCTATCTATAAATCTATGTTAACTTTAACGTTTACTAGGCATTTTATAAACTGACATTTACGGATCATGTTTTTTATTCTTAAATAATTATGTGCTCGTCTCGGTTTTGAACTAATTAATAAATCAATTAGTCAAATAAAAACAACAACATCTATTTTTAGGCTTTCAATCGATGCCGCTTTTAATTAATCTTAGCAATCGACGGATAACGCATAATAATAGAGGAGACTGGGGTGAGTTGTAACAGAGGAAAGTTGTGACACCAGGGGGCTTAGTGCGAGGTGACATTAAACGTCATCGCTAGTGACTGCGTAAAAAATTAGATTAAATGCTATGATACTCATAGATACAGCGTCCCTAAGCGGTTACTATCAAAAAAATCTTCATAGATTATTTTGACTCACTCGCTAGTAACTACAGTTTCAATGCAAATTGCAAACTCGCACTAAGCCCTTTGAACTAAAAAATGCGCAATATATGTTACGAGCTCGCTAAATAGTCAAATCGATAATGTCACAACTCTCCTCTGTTACCACTCACCTCGGTCTCCCCTAAAACATCTTGAGGCGTAACATACAATTTTAAACGTTGAAATCCGAGGTTATTGTACCCATCGTCGAAACAATCTAGCCTAGGAATAGTCTAGCTACTAGCTAGACACAGCAAATATAGTGCTAAATATACACTAGCGTGCTTTCATCTCGTAAACAACACGTGCAAAAACCCCGTTTTACATTTTACATTGTGTAAACAAAAGAAGTTGTGGAAATACACTCGCAAGCTTTATAATATAAACTGTTTATTACATTGTGGTTTACTGTTTAATTGATTAACTGTTGTTTAGGAAATGTTATTGATACAGACAAGAAGTTGCAAAATATGTAAGTGAAAAGTAAAAAGCTCGTACTAATGTGTCTTGATTATTGTCGATTTTTATCTTCTATTTCGTTTTTTTTATCGCATTAAAAGTAAAGTATAATCGATAGTTAATAACTCGAATATTAATGGGTTATTGGATCTCAAGCAGATTCTGAGTAGGTTTAACATGAAAAATAACCTCCTCGAAACTTTCAGAATACACGAGTTAACTATTTGTCTGAACCGATAAACTAACTTATTTATAGGTGTAGTTTCTTAAAGATGTAGGATGTCCAATCCAAATAGGAGGATTTCATAATTTCAGTAACGTAACTAACTTTTAATGGTAGGCCTACGCAATTTAATAAAATGAGTCCTATGTGGCAAACAAATATATGAAAATAAACAACGAGCTCGTCTATAGTTTTACTTATCATACAGACTGTAAGCCATGTAGTTTTCAGAATTTTTAATTTTTTTCCAAAATCCTTAACACCCTGTATATTCGGCGGACATCGATCGTCCACGGCCCCATTTGTCCGTCCCCAGTCTGTCCGGCACTCGTAAGTCAAGGCACCACCACTCTGTTGTGACTATGGGACTATTTATTGCGGGCTTCATTTTGGTGACAACATACGAGCTGGATATTGCACGAGTTTCAACAGAATGTTATGTAGGGTATAAAATTACATATGAGTGAATTATTTTTAATACAATTCGAACAATAGATTTTAAAGTTTTAAATGCAAATTAATGCTTTCAGTATGAGATTTAGAGTAGTAGGTTTGTTAAATTAAAAATGTTATTTCGTGGTTGATTGACGTGTGCTGGTACTTTACATTATAATTATGTTTATATAACAATATAGAACCATATATAGACATAGAGCGCCAATGTACCATCCTAGACTGCATCTCACTTAACACCAGGTGCGATTGCGCCCAAATACCATTCTTGTTATGCATAAAAAAATAGTCACCCTGTATTTATCCTACACTAATAAATTACATACAAAATTATACACATACAGAGAGGTATAAAGTAGAGTTTTGTTTTAAAGGTTAAAATAATGTTAAACCACCTTCAATTTCCTGTAAACTGTAATCTGATGTAGATTAAAGTATTTTTAGTAGATAAACAATCGGTTTTCTTAGAACCGCTCCTCACCTCCTGCATAACGGTGACGTAATGCAAAATACGCCGAATTGCAAGGAATTTGCGACCATTAAAAATGTTTAGGCATTAAATTAGCAGGAAACTGGCCGTTAATAAATAAACTACTGCCAATACATCAAACGCATCGACAACCGCAAGGAACTGCTAACCCGACAACGTTTTCCGAAGTTTCGAATGTTTCCATATCTCTCGCGCAAATAGAGGTGCTAGAATGAGCGACAGTGATAGATAGACCCGAAACTACTTAACGGTGTTAGTAGCCTGCCCCGTTTATTTACGGGAGCACGACCGGTCCAATCCGCTAAAAGCAGTGAGCGATTGATGCCTTGGTCGGCTGCTATTAAATGCCCTCGATGCCGATTACTCCAAGAGAAATATACTTTCAATACGCAAGGAAAATAGCGTAGAAGCAGTGCCCTAATTGTAACTGTCAATAGTACACATAAATAATTGCGAACTGCGAGTTACCTGCATCAAATTAGTAACCAAGACAAATACTCGTAGCTGGTAGGACTAACTCAGTATTTTTTGTACAAAAAATATAATATGCTTTTTTCATTGAGTGAGGTATGTTGCTGTAGAGATCAAACTAGCGCCTATTCTACCTCGTACACTGGCCGTACAAAATGAAAAGTATAAATAATACTGGCTGGCATTTACGACTTCTGAATTAATGGGCTCTAATCTCAATACGTAGACTAAATGGCAAATAGGTACTTATCGTCACTCCAACGCTAATTTTAGGTTGTGTTAGCCCGCAGTGCAAGACGTTGACTTTGAAAAGTTATTAATTGCCTTCCTGCCAGACGATTTTAAAAAGCTTGCTTCCAAAATGTTTACCTAATGTCATATCAAATGCACTAGTTTTCTTTTCGTTGCGTTTCGCCATTTCTAAGCATTTTCCGTTCACTGCCTCTACACCAAACGAAATATATTTTCAATATTCAACACACTCATAGCATAAACATGGAAAAGGCGTTGAATATAAATGGATACATCCACTTTAAAATATACCTCAAGCATACCGCAATAAACTCTTATGATGAACAAGTTCATTCAATTTATTACTTTTTGTTTCAGGTAGTGGATCAAGATGTCGCATTGCACGAAGAGCCGGCGTAAGTCGTTAAATGTTTTAACGACGTAATTTCCCCCACTCCATAGAATATAAATTTGTTCGAATATAACTTCATAGAAGTTGAAATTGTGATAGACTAACAATACCTAATATTCAATATGAATTTTAAGTTCATATCTCTACTTCTAACATGGAACTTCTTATTGATATCTGCAAAAATAGACTCGGCAGAAGAAGACGACGCTGCCCGAGCGAGGATGTTGAGGAATAGAGAGAACAACCGTAATCGTACCACCTTCAATGGAACTCTAACTGATGGTCCTGAAAGACGTTACTTCAGACACAGGAACAGTTCCAAATTCCGCGGTGACAGGCACAGATCTTGGGAAAGAGATCACGAGACTAGACGTGATAGAAGGAAGCTGCCGTCTAGCCATTCGAATGAAGATCAGATCCCTGGCAATCGAACTGAATTCGTTAATAATAAAAGGGATGATAAATCTCGCAAAACAGACAAGCATTGGAATAGGAGTAATGTGGACAAGCTGCCGGTGAGACGACCTTTGAATCAGAGCAAGATGCAAGATAGGGCTCATCCATTGCCTGTGCGTGAAAACACGACAAGATCTAGGCTTAGGATGGCGAATAAATGGCAGAATGGTGGTTACATTCCGTATCCTCAGCCGAGAGAGAGGAAGCCAAACATCATTTTGATTCTTACTGACGACCAAGATGTGGAGTTAGGCAGTCTGAACTTTATGCCCAGGACAATGAAAGCTATAAGGAGCGCTGGGGCGGAGTTCCGGCATGCTTACACCACGACACCCATGTGCTGTCCATCACGGTGAGCCATAATTTTTGTTTTTGTAGACTTTTTCTGATTCGTACCAACCATACCTAATCATAACAAATTCATACCAACTTTACCTATATCTTTGCATTAAACACTTGCTTAATGTTCATTTATCTTTTCTCTTGACTCGGAGGTTCTAGGTGCGATTCCTAGGTGGGCACACATAGTACAAAAAGCACTTTGTTATTTGTTAAGTTTCATTAGGAATAGGAAGAAGCGTCTTATGTTGCAGGGGACACTTCAGTTATCAGTCCGATTGTGCATTGTTAGAACATGGAGGGTAAGAAGACTGAAATTAATTAAAGTAGGTAGAGCCTAACGTTGCTTTTTGCTATATCTGCATTCGATAGAGGACGAAGAAGGATTACATTACACAAGTGACATTCCTAAACTAAATTTTCTTCTTTCATCCTCAGGAGTTCCTTGCTAACTGGCGTGTATGTGCACAACCATAACGTGTACACGAACAACGACAACTGCTCGTCTCCTCAATGGCAGGCCACGCACGAGACCAACACCTTCGCCACATACCTCTCCAATGCTGGCTATCGAACTGGTGAGTACAATCAAACAAACATTTTAATTGATATTACTGTCTCTTTTCACCCTTGAGCAAGCAAAATTTGACAGAAAGTGACAAAGCCTTCAGGAGTAAAAAACTGTAGGTTTTTCAGCAATGTCAATGATCACTACCTACACTAACATGACTAAGCTCAAAAATCTAAGGAGTGCTTTTCGAATGAAACTCTTTCAATGTAAAGTTATATGGGATTTATAAATATGCGCGTAATTATGATTTATGATTCCATCGAATAATTTTAAAATGATTTTGTTGGGTAGGTACTAGACATTTTAATCATACATCTGTTTTTAGTAAAATATAATTTATTTATGCAAAGACTACCATGAATTTTTTCGATGTCATGAGAATTACGAAGTGCTTATTGTTTTTTTAAACATTATCATTTTTAAAGTTCGAAGTCGAAGGCAGTAAATCGTCTACTTAAAATAAAAATACTTTTAAAAGTTAAAAGCTTATTTATATTATTCTCAGAACAAAAAGATTGTGCATTACAATATTTGATTGCCAATAAATTACGCTGTTAAATCCTTTACGTATATCAACGTCTTAATATTTGTCCTATACATTTATTCGTGTTTAAACTCAATAAATTACGTCTCTCCCAATCTAGGTAAATGAATACTTGTGCATGGCTTAAAGATAGATTTATGGTTTATTAAGGACAGTAAGTGGAGAGCGAATTGCTTGAATCATGTGGCTAATGATCAATTACTATTGGTAGAGGTTTGTTCGAGATCGGATTTCGTAATATTAGACTTTTGGTGTTATTTACAGACATATTGGTAACGTTTTTTGGGGGAAAGCGTTACAATATTCAAATATAAGGGTGAGTTGCACCAACTGACATTAACCGTAACTACAACAATAACCGGTGCTTTTTGTATGGAGTTTTACAGATCTTTGACGTTTGTTAAAGTCAAAGTTAGATGGTGCAGGAACCCAGCATAAGTGTGGTACTTTACTGAGTCAATTAGAAATCGCGTCGCGTTTTTCCGTATTTTTTTTATCCAGAGTGTCTTTTATATCTTACTTATCAACCTCAAACTTGAACTTATTCAGATTAAATAAGAAAAAAAAAGATAAAGAAGTTTAAATTACATTTCCACCGATATACGATTATCAAGAAACTTTATTTCACAAACAGCCAATAAGTTTTTACGCAATAAAACTCATGTTTAACAAATCGAATAAATAAAGTCTCCAACTCATTTTACATAAAAATTCAGTCTGGACGCAATTTAAACGTAATAAGTTAAAACATAGGCTATAAAATAATGCCGGTAGCTATATTGGCGACTATTACTTGTAATTACACTGTTTTTTGTTGACAATCTAATAAACAGTGCAAATTGCACACACAGAAATTTATTTTAGGGTTGTCAATGAAGTAAGCAATAAGGAACTAGCAATAAGCAGTGAAAGCACGTTTCCGTCGCACGTATTTTGCAAAACGACTTAAATATTTCCGACTTGTCTCTTTCACTCAGTTTAATGTGTGAGAGAGATGCTAAGATTCAACATATCGAAATGGTTTGTGGAATAGACGTAAGTAAAATGTATTGTGCTGCTTGTCAGTAATATTTACTAATGTTTATTGACGCATTTAATACAAGTATGAAATTCATTACTTTGAAGTGATTTATTGCGTATTTGAATTAAACAGAGCTAAATAACTCATAAAATTATGTACAACACAATTGAATTAGCTTTGCATTAAGTTTTCAGTCAGCCAAACAATTTATGCGGTTTTTACATTAGGTTCAATAAAACAAAATCAAATGGTAATTAACTGATATTAAATTGGGTTTTCATTTTTTAGACGCTGAACTATGTGATAAATAATTTTCACAATAGTTTAAGATGTCGTGATTGGGAATTTGAAAGTTGAAACGCTTAAATAATTACAGCGAAGCCTTCAAAATCTAAGGGTGAAACCCGCGTGTCAACCCTAGTTATTAATGAAGTCGTGCCGTAATGTGCCATACGGAGTAATACGATACCTTAACACCTGAGAATTCACGATACGCGTTGTATTGGCGGCGATTTGTCTATCTATACCCATGGAATAGTCAGCAGGTGGGTTTATTTAAGGTTAAAGGATAGCTTTACTTTTATGGCCTTCTACTAGCTTTTGGCCAATGACTTCGTCTGCATGAAATTTTGTCTATCACAGAATAGATAAGACTCTACCGCGATTAAAACTATTTCATCAAAATCTCATGTCCATTCCCGGGAAACTATTTCATCAAAATCGGTTAAGTGGTTTAGGCGTGAAAGTACTTCCTACTTCCCTGATCTAGACCTGTCCAAACTACCAATTGTTTTTATTAATTTGTTTGTTAAACACATTCGTGACAATAACACTAATAAAGCTAAGACTTGATGAGCTGCCATAAACGATGTCATGGCTCAATTGGACCTACCAATGTCTTGACGTGCCTTTCCAAGCAATCATTAAATATTATATTTTTTGGACAGTCAGTTCAAGTCTGCAATATTCTGAACAAAATGCTTGCCCGTCATTGCATTCTTCTCTTTAAATAAAATGTTGCTAATTTTTGTAACACATATGAGACCAATGTAACAGTGTAACCTAAATGCGAATAGTAGACGGTTCCTGCGTAATGTTTAACGGTAATTTATTTCGATATCAAAAAAGCCAATCACCGAAATTTTTTATCGTGATTAATGCAATTTAAAAACCGTTATGAAATAAAAATCCACATCAATCTGCGGCGCTAAGTGTTAGAGTCCCTGCAGACTAGACATTTATCCATTTATCGGCTGATACCAAATCGGTGCAATGTGCGTACTTTTGTAACTTCCTAATTCCTAATGTTTAGCTAATTAGTATGAATAAGTATAAAAGTACAAAGGTCAGAAATTAGGATAAAAGCCTTTAAACTATCGGCTAATAAAAAGTCTGTAGTCGGCGAGGACTAACCCTGGGTTGCATATTTTATTAATTATTTACTTATAACAAACGTCAAAAGTCTGTCAAACTCTAAGGCTGGGTTGTACCATCTTAATTTAACTTTGACAAATGTCAAAAATCTGTCAAACTCCATACAAAATACACCGGTTATCGTTATAGTTACGGTCATAGTTAGGTGGTGTACTCAGCCCAAGAGTTTAATCGGGCTGTTAATCAGTATTGAACATTGATAAGAGTACGAAAATTACATCGATTTGTTATCGTCCGATTTCTCATCCAAATTACGAGTAGAAGCCGATCAAACTATAGGCCGAAAAATAAATCTGTAGTCTGCAGAGACTCTTACTCAGCACAAAAAGCACTAATTTGAATGCGTTGAGTCGAGTACTTGAGATTTGAATGGCCACCATCAATTATAGAGCCAATATAATAAATCCGTAACTATTTAATAAACGTTTGGTAATCTCGTTAACGTGGGCGCCTCTATCATTAATAATAAGTAATCCGAACAAATTACTGGAGGGTTAACGACATCTGAAGAGTTTATTAGATAGTAAATGATGTTTTAATTTTCCTGTGCATAATTGAAGTTTATTTTATAGTAAGAGCTTCAGCCTGTGGCTTCGCTCAGTAGATATGTCTATGAACTGATGACTGTCGCAGTATAGATACTTTCTGCGACAGTAGTTATAGAAACTTTACCATTCAAGTTTTCTTTGAGAAAAATTCTGTCCAACTTGTCTCTACAATAATATAATATTTTTTTTGCTTAGTATAGTATGTATAGCTTATAGATATGTATGTCTAATTAGATTAAAATAGATACGCAAGTTACATCTTCAATATTCGTTACACTTTTAATAGATTGACTTTTTTTAAACTTGTAGTTATTTGAGATAAAGCACTAAACTTCTTCCAGAGTTCTTTTCATGGAATTAGCTATACTGTATTATCGAAAACAGTACCTCTAGTAGGAAAAACTTTCGAGTTCGTTTCGTTGCGTATTCAAAGTGTCATCGAAAAATTTTGTATGAAAAATTAAACAGCGCCCCCTATATTATAGCCGCCCTAGGGGGCGCTGTTTAATTTTTCATACAAAATTTTTCGATGACACTTTGAATACGCAACGAAACGAACTCGAAAGTTTTTCCTACTAGAGGTACAGAAAGCAATTTGTCTCCAACACACAAAAAAGGCGACATGTAGCCGTAGTCTTATAAACTATGTACTAAATAACTAATAGAGGAACGTAGAGCGCTTACCCGTCAGAAGTAAGTGATGCAATAGAGTCAGGAATGCTGGTTGACTCACGGTTATCTACTGGCTCTCTATACATATATTTAGTTAAATTAAAGCAAACAGAAACGGGTGGAAATTATGCCTTTAGGGTGTTTGTCTAACTTAATACCTATAATTAAAAAAAAAAAACCTAAAATAGGTTAGGTAAAGAAAAATCTTGTATAAATAAATTATGGGTGTAATTGAGTGATTATTACTTTTCTATTAAACCGATTTTACCTGTAGTTTTTTCAACGGTTGTAAAATAAAATTGGCTTTGCCTGCTTTGAACGAGAAAAATCACAATTTTCTTGCTGTTAATTTTAAAAATATGCCAGTGGTATCAATAATTATAATTAGTATACGATACTATATCAAAGTTAATCTCCTTCCACGTGTAAGTGATGCTTATCATTTTACTAAAGCACAAAATGTTTGTAAACTCTACACGCTTCATGAATGGACGTGTTTCCATGGCTACACAAATTGCTTCCAATCAGAGCCGTATATTGAATAATAGCAAAGCTATAGCAACTAGTGATGTAATCCGCACCTAAGACAGTCGAGTCATGCCAGGTCATCCGGATAAGATCGTCCTATTGGAGCAAGAGCCAGACTTCCGTTATTTTATAAAAGATGAAAGTTTGTCAGCGCATGCTCTCAGCGTAGGTATAAGAACGTTGGACTATCATGAACTTTGAGCCATTGTGGCTTTGGCAGCTACCCTAAAATGTTGAGACGGTCAAAACTGTCTTTTCAGCAGCAGCTCAACTTTTATAAAATAACGAACTTCTTAAAGTCTTCAGTTATCTTCGGGATTGCTACCATGTACCTTTTTATTTACGAGCCTCCGATATTCCGGTACTGTTGCAAGCGCCATGATCACGGAGTAACTGAAGAAATAGTGCCAAAATATCAGAGACTAGTAAAAAAAAGGTACATAGTAGCAATCCTGTAGATAATTCTAACGAAGGTGTGGCGACCACTGGCTCTTAGTCCACATCATATCGTCATCCGGATGAGATACTATCGTCTCCCCAAACAGCAAGGACACTTCCATCTACATTAGATGGGTCGAATCAGATGGGCAGATCGCCGACGTCCGCCGACCCACGTGCCTGCCTACACTCCAGGGGTGCCAGACTGTGATCCAGTTCCATATTGCAAAGGAGATAAATGATCAACTGATTATACGTAATCCAATTGACCTAATTTTTTGTGTGAGACGACGACGAATTTGCATACAATCGAATTATCTTTTCGTTTGGTGACACTTACTCGTATGTAGAGTGGATATTCTTTTTTAACCTACTCGTAAATACAGACCGCTTAAATGATCTAATAGATATAGGCAGATTTTTGCTTCTTGGACATTGATTTTTCACGAAAAAAAAGAAACATTTAA